AAGTTGATGGACCATTTTTTAACCGCCTTTATTGAATTTGCAGTTAAAATAACGGTTTTTTACTGATAAAATGAGCTAAAAATTTCTACTAGCATTTGTATGGGAATTGCCAATAACTTGCCAGTACGGGACTTACCATTAATAGCTCTAAGCTGTAACAGCTGTAGTATTACGGAATCATACTATTCGTATTCGTGCTTGCTTGATTAAAAATAAAAAAGGCTTTTATTTTAGACGGATGGTAGGAAATATACTGTGGGAATCACCCATTGTGACAACAAGTCATTCTAGCAATAACTTAGTTTTTGCACCGTGGTAAGTTTTCGGCGGCCGCCGTCCTTCAAAAAATAAAAAAACGGCGGCGGCAACCAATTTCACGTCCCAATCCCGTGTGAAACGTAGTTTCAATTGAGCCGCAACGTAGTAAAACACATTCCTCGCGTTTTAGCACAACGAAATGGTCGAAACCGCACAGTACTCGTAGTTTCTGTTTTCATACTACAATGATGAAGTTTCCATTGTTGCTATCTTCTGTGTTTATCTGCATAGTGTTGTTGCAGTTTCCCTTGCGCGTACAGGGATCGTCGGAAGAAGAGGAACGGTGGCAAAGGACGACTCGGAGTCGGCCACGGCCCTCTCGGCGACAAAGACGGCACGGTTTCGATGCGAATGTAGAACCCGATTTACAAGATCATGCATACTCAGAATTTGTGACAGATTACTTTTCCAAGCTGCAGGATGACCGACAAAAGCCGAGGGACATTGTAGAGGGCACAATATCAGCATTCCAATCGTTGCTTGTTGGAGGCCTGGCATCTTTGTCCACTTTCTTGGGAATCCCGATTGTAACAGTCATTTCTTTGGTTGCATCGAATGCCGTCGTCAACGAAAATGAGGAAATAAATGGTGGCGCGGTGCTACCCGCAATATTCGGGCTCGTCGTAGGAAGTATCATTGGAACTACGTTCACCTTTTTCATCAGTATATTTTCTCTTTGGCGGGCAGGAGTTTCGTTCTTGGATGGCCTCTTAGAAACGCCAAGAGCACTAAAATCTTGGATTTTAGAAGGGAAAATTTGGAACCCGTACGAACGAGAATGGAAAAGCAAAACACAAAGCCTTGAAAACGAACGTCGAGAATTGTTATTAATGATGGAGGCACAGGAGGCAGAAGCAGCGAGGAAGAGACGAGGATTGGTGGTTGTGGACACAAAATTATACGATTTGTTGGAGGTGTCCCCAGATGCATCCACGTCAACAATCAAAAAGGCATACTTTTCCAAAGCGAGAGAACTCCATCCTGATAAAAACAAAGACGACCCTCAGGCTCACGAACGGTTTGTGGAAGTGCACGAAGCCTATTCGGTATTATCCGACGAAAAGAGACGATCCCAATACGACCGATGGGGATCATCGTCAGAAGGAAGCGACGATGGTATAATTAGTCCAAACGATTTCGACGCAAATGTGTTTGTAGCTGTTTTATTTTCGAATGGAAGCGGTATTGTTTCGACGCCCACAATCCAAAAGTATGTTGGAGATCTCGGAATAGCCAGTTTTATCGATAAGGGTTACAAATTGACGGCCCTGGCTCAAGCTATTGCATTATTGAAAGAACAGCAAGGTGATGGAGAGCCGCTCAACAGAGTGCTTGGTACTCTTGCTGATGAATTATTCGGTTTGGAGAACAGCGAAATGCGACGCAAAACGCGATCGATTGAAATTGCTACTCATTTGGTTAGTAGGGCAGAACTTCTGTCCGATGGTCAACAATGTAACAATTCAGGTGATGGCAGAACTTACAATCAGAAGAGCATATCCGAAGAGACCTTCCGGCATGTGGTTCGTGACGAAGCACAAATAATGTTAAGAGAGTCGGGATTTTATGGACCGGTCTATTTGGAAATCATAGGGTCGTCCCTATTGTTTGAAAGTTCTCTACACTTGATTCCCCATCGAGCCCAAACTTTTTATCAGAAATGGACTTCTCGCAAACAATTTGTACAGACTCTTTACGATCTAGTCAAAAATATTGATCCTTCTGTGGAGGCCAAAAGCCATGTTTTGGAAATTTTCTCAACGGGGAATTTACAAGGCATACTAAAGCTGATTACTCTATACAATCGGATGGATATTTCAACTGCCCTTAGAGAAGCTATTTGGAGAGTCTTAAATGACCCAAGTGCATCTCGATCGGAACGAAAGAATCGGAATCGTGCAATTCGTATAATTGGCGAAGAATTCTCCATCCTTGCTAACACCGAGATGGCCCTCGACAATGACAGCGAAGAAGCTGTAAATCAATTCGAATCGAACTTGGTACTAGCTATTCAGGTCGCATCGAAATTGACAACATAGTAGCCTTCGTAGAACGGGGCCATCTTCTGGTGAAAATATGCAACTTTGGACTTGCAAGGTGCTGAAAACGACAGAAATCTGCGGGAATAATGGAAACGCCTACTGCAATACACCTCGAAAAATGAATAAGTGTTGTACGTATATTGCAGGTACATACAGTAATAGTTGCGATCATGGTAATTCTACGAGGAATACATGGGACATCTAAAGTTCGTCGTTTGAAACTGCAATATCACCTACCGCGCGGTATTCTCTCGTATTTGAATACATCCGCTTTTGCGTGGTGTCGAGATGAAAAAGAGTGGCAGCGCTCACAGTATTCATAGCACCTATGTATCTAATCAGAAGTATGTTGAAAGATATTGTTTTTTTGGGTTGAGGGCTCGGACAAACTCAATGTGAACCATTCTTGCCAATTTTTCCTTCATGATTGATTGTGATGATTATTGTTACTATACATTTAATATTTCTAATTATTTGGTGACGCTGCATTTAATATATCTAGTATTGTATCCAGTATGTTGCGAAAGCAATGGCCAGAGATATGCCGTTGACATGTTGATGGTGACTACAATGCATCCATCCCTTCAGAACTCTCTGGTTTTGTGGATTGCCGTACTGAGGTTGCGCATCATGAGACGATTTTGTTGATTGTGTTGGGGACAAAACATTAGTTCCCTCCAATAAGACAATACTCCGTGAATTGTTTCTGTATGGAGTTGCAAATGGAGGGTAGCATGTTCAATCTGCCTGTGTTCTGCCTCTCGACTACGCTGATACAAGATACCTTGCCTTCCCCAGGAATTCTCATCACCGCTGAACGAGATATTGCACAAAGTTCTTGGTCTTTGCATACTTGGCATTCGAATGCAAGGTTGTCACCACCGTCCATTGAATTATTGCTCAAAGTGTCGCTAACATCAGTATCATTGTTATCTTCTTCAACCTCTTCACTTCCGACTACATCGCTCGAAGTGTCGCTGACATCAGTATCATTCTTATCTTCTCCAACCGCGTCACTTTCGACTACGTCACTCATAACATCAGAGGAGATAATGCTTCCATTGTCAACATTTTGGTTGTTGATGTCAACGGTGATGTCGACGTCGTTTTCAGGTGATTCCGTATCAATATGATTGCCGACCGAAAATTCAAAAGGAAGAATGAGGTTACTAATTGAATGGATGACACCATTCTTTGTTACTACATCTTCAGATTGATCAATAACCGGAAGGTTGCGAAGCAAGTTTCCATCAGATGTTTGGAATTTCGTGTCGCCCATACAAATAGTATAGGTTCGATCGAAGTTCAAAGTTTCAGAGTTTAGGTTGCACGTTAATGCGTCATATGAAAGAGCCAAGGGCACGATATGTATGGACATGAGATCTCGAAGAGCACCACGGTCTTGAAGAAGGGCCTCTAGTGTGTAGTCCCCAGCGTCAAAAGCACCGTTGGTCGGAGCGAAAAGAGTATACTGCCCTCTCTCATCTCCCATTATTTGAAATAGATTAGACGCTTTCAGGGCGGCACAGAGGTTGCCCCACGTGCCCGCTTTGTCTTCATCACATATGGTTTCGGCTGAAGAGGGTAGGGTAGAGCAAGATTACAAAGTTGATCATATGGGTTGGACTGATGAAACCTATTCAAAAATATAATTTGAAAAGTATATGTGCCAAAAACACAAGCAGTACGGATTCTTTCACGTTTTAATGACAATTTTCATCCACAACATTTACTTACATATAGTTTTGTCTGCGCCAATTGTCTCGTCTTCACTGTCATCCGTTCGTCCTTCAACTTCAATAGTCTCGGTTGAAATCATAACACTTGGCTCAACGCTTGTATCTACGTTTGTATCTCTCATCGAAGGCTCTTCTGAACCGCTTGGTTCAGAAGTGGATGGCTCTTGTGATGGTTCATCGCTCGGATACAGGCTCGGTAAATTGCTCGGCCCATCAGTTGGCGGGATACTTGGTGCTTCCGTAGGTGATGCGGACGGGCGGGAACTAGAGGCTTCGGTCGGGCTGACGGTAGGTGACGACGAGGGGTTCGAGGTAGGAGGTTGTGATGGTGCCTCTGTTGGTGACGTTGTTGGTGCGGTTGGAGACATTGAAACTGATGGTCTCGGCGAGACACTTGGTGCTGATGACGGTGTTGCACTTGGTGTCCATCTAGTGGGAAATGGAGTAGGAGGCAATGTGGGAAATTTTGTTGGTTTGCCCTGAATGACAGGCGATGGAGATTCTAAGTCGGCTTCTGATGGATCGATCCGACCCTCTGTTACTGCCATTTGTGGAACGGGAGAGGGGGCTGCCGAAGATAGAGACGTTGTTCCTTGCATAGGAATCAAATCCATAATTTGGTTGTATCCGATTAGGTCTCTGTCAGAATTGGCACTTGTTGTTTCCGCGATCAGGATCAACAATAAGATTACTGCCGAATGAAAGAACAAGTTGCGGTTTGTCATGATTGCAGAGGGAATGTATTCAAACTGGAATGATTTGTTGTCAATTGTTCGTTAAAAGTTCTCGAGAAATATTCGGTCTATTGTTTTGAACATTTTCTATTGCACCTGTCGATGCTAAATTTAGTAAAACGAATAATCACAGTCCCAGCAAAACGTGGTGTTCAAAAGGTAGGAAAGAGACTCCGAGAAACGCTGAACCAAGACAAATCACATCGCCGAAAAGACGAAAATGTGACTCTGAATGTAACGGCTCTTTCGCGGCTTGCTACGGCAAGATACGGTATTTTCGTATTTTTTCGTTATCTATCGAGGCTGGCGTGACTTTCCAAAAACATTGCGCGGTTGTTTTAATAATGAGTGCCATCATACGTTACGTACGTACGTACGTTGTACTACCGTACAATAATTCTACTGTACAAAAGAAAAATCATCATGGGTGCCTTGATGTTCCTCCTGTTGCAGATCATGCGTACAATAAGCCTCACCCTGGTGATGTGATTGATAAGTATGACCTTGTTCAAGCACCAGTAGGTAAAACTTCCAAGTAGTTATATTTATAATACATTTTTTTGTGCAACGGCGTTGTGCAGCAATGGTCAAGGATGATAGAAAAAAGGCGTTGTGGACCGTTGCATCGCAACATTTTTCAAATACCGTTGCGTTGCTGACCCCTAGTACCCATCCACAAGTGATTGAACAATACTACCGTACGGTACCAGTACGGGTGTCATTTTACGACGACTTCTGCGTTAGTCATAGAAGTCGAAAAGAAAAAACTACTAGAATAGTGTTTTTCAACTGAAATAGTCGATGGAAATAGGGAACCTGAGGGGGTAGAGATGCTAAAAATCTGGTATGAAGTTTTTTTAATGTAGACTGTAGTACAAAATGAATGACTTTTTTTTGGAGACTATTAACTGTTTCTTCCAGAAAATATACACAGAGCCAATAGTAGTAATTGCTATTTCTTTGAAAGAAGAACAAAACAGTTTTTTCCACAAATACATTTTATGCCACAGGATGACAACAATTCAACTTCCACTTGCAGCAAACAGCTGCAACAGCAAGTATGCACAAATATTTTCAGTGGTACTACTAGTATAGACACACCAGGCTTGAAGAAATTACATATTTTCCCCCACCATTTTTGGAACTTGGAATCCCATATAATTGCACGCTAATTTCACAAGATTCCACTGGTGCCAACATGATTCAGATTTTCACGGAACCAGCTATGGCTCCAAAATGGTAGAAGGCACAGTTGAAACTATCAAAATCACAAAACCATTTTCACAAAACCAGCTCTATGGCTAGTCACACTCCTCCTCCAGAGCGTCTCCATCCTCACTATTTGGCTCTTGATTCCTCCCTCACAGTAAACAAACACCACAATGTCCCCTGAGTTGGTTTTAATTACATGGGAAGATTCCCTTCTTGAAGCAGAGGAGGAGGAGGAGGAGGAGGAGGAGGAGGAGACATATCATTGACTTTCCCTTGAAAACAGGTGGCATGTCCACATTCATCCACCTCTTTGGGTCTGGTGACGACCAGGCTCTTCTAAATTGCTGTGGTGTAGACCGTCCTGCCTTCGGGCATCTTCTTTCCCTCTTTGAGCCAGTTTTTGACAGATATAGAGTGGACAGGAAGACTCTGTAGATCAGATCACATCCCTTCACAAAGAATGGCAAACCAAAGGGCAGTAAGAKGGAGATTACTGCCACCATTGGACTAGCATTAGTCTTGACTTGGTTCAGAACTCACGGATCAGCAGCAAGGGCCTTATCTATGATATTTGGTCTCACTTCAACACCCCTCTGTAAATGGTTAAAGTATTCCCAGTGAGTTCTTCTTTGTGTGCTGCAAAATCATCCAAATGCTATTATTAGGCATCCCTGTGATGGAGAAGTGGAGGCCTATGTGGCAGCAATTGGAAGAAAGTATGAGGCACTTGGAAGAAAGAGGTTCTGGGACGCGGTTGACAGCTTGAAGGTTAAGATTTGGCATTCAAACAACTGGGCCATTCAAATCATTTACTAGTATAACTCCTGGGTTGTTGACACGCCCCAGATGGAAGAATCCAAATGGCCACCTACTAGTATGATTACCCTAGGACTTGGCATGACAGTACCATGGCCAACTATGACATATAGGGCAAGACAGAAGCCATATATAACAGGGCTGGGAGAATTATCATGGATTCTGCATTTACTAAGGTGAAACAAGCTGAAAATATCATCTGTAGCCAGCAAAATGATCCAGACACCTTTGAAACTACTATGGCTGAAAACAACCAGGTTGTAGTAATTAATAGGCAAGCAACAGCTGTCTGCTAGTTGTCTGAATGGGGCATGAGAATAATCCAGGGGCAATTCCCAAGAATGAAGGAGATGCTTATGCTTGAAGAACTGGGAGATATGAAGATCATCCCCCCTCTTAGCAAGCTCCTACATCCTCTACAACAGAAGAATGTTGATACTTGTATTACTATTAAGTAGAGGGCTGCACTCACCAGCCAATCCCATGATCATGCTAGTCAGCACACTCCCACTCTTACTCTTCTTCAGTGATGTGTTGTTCAGTTCTCCTTGTCTTTGTTGAATGTGTTCTGTCTTGTGTTCTGTCTTGTGTTGTGTGTGTTCTATTCTTGTTAAGGGGAAGCAAAGAAATGCTTTTTTTGGAGGAAGATCAAAATTTTCAGTTTGGCGTTAAGTGACTCCTGTCTTTAGGGTACAGGAGCACCTGCTCACAAGACTGAAAATGTTTTGTCAAGGATTCCAATAAATATTTGTATCAAATACACAGATCTTGGTTGTTATGGGCCCATGACCACCAGTATCTGAGTATTTGGAATACATAAAACTGTTGTCCGTAGGATATCAGATCGTGGGTATGATTCATACATACGGAACGTACATACGATACGTACCTAAGATTCATACACACCATACATATATGACTCACGCGATCCCMYWGGATTCATAYRATCGACAYGACTCATTYCATTCACTTGCGTGAGTGACTCGACTCATTCGATTCACACATCACTCGATCCTCTCAGCRATCCATTCTAGTTTTCATAGTTCGTCGATCCCYGATAAGAGCATCGACTCACTTTTCTACTAGCACACACTTTACATCACTTTTAGGACAGTCACTCCCACAAAAACAAGCCAGCCAGCCTACTTCTAGTAGGTATGCAGGAAAGAGCCAATGGTGATGTTTTGTAGGAATCAAGCAATGTGATTGGCTCATTAGACAGATTAAGCTTCTCACGAAAACCGGTGTTTCTCATAAGAACCTTGTATTTTCCTTTTTAATCACTTTGCAACACTTCCCATAAAATATATTTCTTCTGATTCACATCAAAATATACTTTATACTTCCAAAATCATCTCGACTTCCACCATCCATCATGACTACCACCAGAAGCACGAAAAGCGCGAAGCGCTCCTTCCACCCCAACATCGAACACATCCATGGCGTCTTCCTTCCGCATTACAACTATCCCGAACTCACGGACCCAATGGACACCGCATACGGTTTCACGACTGACTTCGTTAACTACCTCAATGCCAATGGAGATGCTTTCGATGACGTCGCCAAATTCCTTCCGTCCGTCAAAGAAGATATCATCGACCACGTCCAGGCCAATGCGTTCAACTCCAAGGATAAAATTCACATCAAAAATCTCATGCAAACAAAGACGACACTCCTTGTTGAAATTGCAAAGAACAAGCGCGTGCAACTCTTGGACACTAACAACACAAACCTTGACAAGGCCCTAAACTTCGTATCCAAGAGCGCGCAGCCTGACGCACTAGTTCTTTACATCAATTGGTCACCCTTCTACATTGACGAAAGAGTACACCCAAAAGACATTTACGACTTTGCATTATTCAGCGACACTCCCTTTCCACCTCTCGATCCCACCACGAAGCCTCAGACTACGACTGGAACTCAAACCAGAGACCCAGCCATCCTCAAACTTTGGGAACAGAACAATGAAATCTTGAAAAATACTGCCGCAATCAAGAGTCTTGCTCCAAAACCAAAAACGCCGGGGACCCCCACTAGCATTGATCCCTTCATTCCAGTCAACTTCGCCACTGGAGTCAATATCCGTTACAAGTTCAATAAAGAACCATACAAATTYCATACCAGCACCRCCCTCACCAAAATCTACRACTCTGCAGGGACCCCTGGATTCCGAAATTACGCTCGCGACACCAAACACTTGTCATCAGGTTTTGTCACTCGCGATGGTTCCTACTTTGTCCTAGTTGATCTAGGACCACAAAGTGAAAAGAACTTCCGTAACAACGTCAATAAAATGACAGGTGAAACATCCTATGAACTCTACAATTGGTACACGTGAAAAAAAAAAAAAAAAAACTTAATATTATTTTTAAGCTCGTGAACTAGAAGAGGCACTAGGAAGGCCAGAACCATTGCTTTCGTGAGAAAGAATGCTTCTAGCTGCTCCAAGGGGCGGCGCATCCCTCCAAGGAGTTGTTATGGAAGCGCGACCAAGTTGTATGTACTCTGATAGGCCATTGTAGGCCCTGGGCTCAACTCAGAGGACACGTTTAAGTAAAGTATTGGTTCATAGTAGTTTGGATGGTACAGTTGGGTGCGGTGGAGACCAAAGAATTTGTTGGTGACACAGGTGATTTGTGTCTTCGCTTCTTGGAGTATGCATCAAAGATGAGCCCATCTTGTGTGATGCTCTCCAGCGGTTGTGTACTATGAACCAATGGCTGAAAATACTGTGTAATGGGGCGGGTGTTGGTGACCAAAGCACTTATAGCTTGGGTGACACTCGCCAGAATCGGTTTCTCGTAGGCTTGATGATAATAAGATAGCATGGAGGTAGGAGTCTGCGATAAGAATGCTTCCATATCGTCAGGGAACAAATGTCTATGAGATGGACAGGTTTGAGATTTTAACGCAAATAAGGCTCAAACTTTCGTCACTGCGCGCCTTYGATAATGGACTTGTTTCTGTGAAAGGGTATGGCCATGGAGATCCTTATTTCTCTGTTCCCATAGAGATACATAGGAGGTAAGAAAGAACTCCACAAGGTAACCTCCTAATACAAGTGGGGAGTAAGAGCCAGAATGAAGATCAAGATCGGTAAACCATTGGAGCAAAATGTGACCAGTAAACATACGGTGCCAACCAATCTCACTCTGAAAATGAATAACTGGATGAA